CCCCCCCCCCACCCCCCAACTTCTGTCTTCTGGCACGGGTGCCACCTCAGCGCCTGGTTGGGCTGAGAATGTGACATTTTGGCTCCATGTAAGGCGCTGTGTCTCGGTTCCCTTTTCGCTGCCATTTATTGTCACTCTGGTATTTGCATAGCTCGACTTCAGTGTGCCTCACGGCCCGAGGAAAGTGGTAGCTGCTGCCGCTTCTCCTTTTAAAACCAAGCAGTTATCCATGCAACACCATCACCGCCCGTGTGTGCTCGCAGCCCTGTCACTGGGGGGGTTGCAGCCTTTGGAAAAGTTTTGCAGAACTGAATTTAATCGAGACTGATGATCTTTAAGCCAAGCTATAAAATCCAGCAGAGAGTTATATCCCAGTAATAGACCCTATTAGAGGGTCTAGTGCAGTCTATAGAAAGGATCTCCTCTCTATTAAATTCTCTAGGGCTTGAGTTCTCATTTACACAAAGGCCCTTTTAGCTGTGTAAAATGGCCATAAAGTAGGTGTAAAAATGATTGATGCCATCTTTACAACCCCTTTACACTGTGAAAACAGTGAAAACAGTGTGAAGTGGCCAGGGTGCAAATGAGAATCACACCTGGGTTTGTGAGAGTAAATTACATTGAGCCCTTCACAATTTCTGTGTGTCCATAGTGGTTTCCTACCCCTTTCTGCGGAATTCACCCAGAGAATAAATTTCCAGGACTTAAATAAAAAAAAAGAAAGAAATGTTCTTTTCTTCAGTACCTCTGTCCTTTCTGAGCCTTTTAGTCCCATTCTTTGTCCTGGTGCAGTCTATGTGGACTCTGACACTGGGAAATGGCTGGGAGCTGTCTGAATATGCTGTGGTAGGCGAAAATCCTTTAACTGGTACTTTCCAAAATTCTTGACCCGAGCAAAACACATATAAAACCATACCCAGGGCGAAACAGGGTCCATTTCCCCATCTCTCCTGTTTTGATTTCAGGTTTTTGACATATATAAAGAGGAAATACAGGAGTTAATCTTTGCTAGATCAAAATACCTCATATTTATTCATTAAGCATTAAAACACCAACAGAATATATGATGAATATTTCTTTATTCCAAAGCAAAGGATTAACTGCAATGCTGATTAACGAACCAAACTCGGCAGCAGTGGCTCGAAGCGGAAGCCGTGCTGTTATAGACTCATTGAATGGTCAGAGTTGGAAGGGACCTCAAAGATCATGGAGTTCCACCCCCCCTGCCCTGGGCAGGGACACCTCCCACCAGACCAGGTTGCTCCAAGCCCCATCCAGCCTGGCCTTGAACCCCTCCAGGGATGGGGCAGCCACAGCTTCTCTTGGGCAACCTGTTCCAGGGTCTCACCACCCTCACAGCAAAGAATTTATGGAGGTGCACACCTTGCTGAACAGTGCAGGTTCTCGTATCCACATTTCCTTCCTTTTCCCTGTCACCGCACCGAAGGTGTTTGCAGCAATCCTGTGATCATCACCTCTGTGTCTTTTGTGCTCTAGAGGAGTCCCAGCAAATTTAAGTGTGGGGATGAGTAGGCAGAGGCCAACACATCTTCTGAGCAATGGGAAACCTGGGACAGGGCCTTTCTCTTGCTTTGCCAGTGGTCAGGGCGCAGCACCTGGTGGGGAGGGCAGGAGGAAGCCCCAAAGCTCAGCTGTTGTGTGGCCTCCCCTGGTCCCTCTACCCCTTCTTGTTACCTACTTGGTGGAGAGGAGAGGCCACATTTGGGGCACAGCGAGGGTTGTGTGGGTGGGAGACAGGTATATCCTCCCCCTTACACTTCCACAGAGAGCACAGCTGAAGTTGTGTGAGGGATAAGGGGGCAAACCAATGTCTGGGTAGAAGCAGCAGGTGAGAGGCACCTCCGCACATCCATCTCCTACTGGAGGCTGGCCCTGGCACCCATCCTGGAGCGTGGCTTTGCAGCAGGCTCCACCAAAGCTGGGGGAGATGGGCCTGTTCCTGCTACTGCATGGATGGCCCCTGGTGCCAGCGGCCAGTTCTCACGTTGCCAACCCCCCTCACCCTCCACTGCTGCCTCAGCATGGCTGGGGGGCGGGCTGAGGGTGTTGGATGTGGGGAGACACCTGAACAAGGGGATGGGCACCCTTGCAAATGTGCCTCACAGCCACGCTTACTAGTGGCTGTTATTTTGAGGTGTAATTTAAAGGCCATTTGGAAGCTGGCGTCAAAGACCTTCATTTTCTGAAGCTCCTGGCTTTGCAGCTGGGCAGAGAGCACTTTGGCGATGCTGGTCTACTCTAGAAGCACTCCCTATGACCAAAACTCAAGCACATACGTGGAGCAGTGCTGTAGGTGGACCACAGGAGACTTAAGTATGTTGTGACAAGGTATGCTTCTCTAGCCCTGGTATCACATACGATCACATGGAAGACAGTTTTTGGGTAGCATTTGAGCTACTTAGACAACTAGCTTTTGCCAGACTGGGGTTTTTGCTGCAGAAAGAGAATGTTTTCACTTCTTTGGAGCCTTATAGAAATTTTATTTGCTTCCTCCTTGCTAATGATTGTGGCACAGTTTGTCTGGCATGTGATTGCTCCACCCCACCTCAGAACCACCCCAGCCCTGTTGGGGATTGGGAAATCCCTAGTCATGGCAGGGTGTGAGCACCAGCTGCCGTGCCCTCGCACGGCTATCGGCAGGCAGTGCCAAATGCTGCCCACTCAAAATTGCTCCTACGGTGATAAGTCCATGCTGTGCAAGTGGAAATGGCAGTTCAAGGGACAAACTGACGTACGTGTCTCGGTATAAGGCTAATAAGACATCAGGCACTTCTCGAGTCACGCTTTCGGGTGAAAAAGCTCTGTTTGAATGTGTTTTGTTATTGTATGCTGCTTATTAAGTAATCGTTACTCTCTTGCCCTCATTATTATAAACGATGTCTTTGGGAGACTGGCAGTCTCTTCTTGCTTCCCTCCCTCCACCCCATTTTAAAAACATTCATTGTTGCAGGGATATATCTTTTAGGGCTGTTGGCCCAACTCCACTGCTGGTGTGTGAGGCTGATTGTCTTCAGAGGAGTTACACCAAAAATGCATTTGGCCTTTTGTGCTTGGAGTATAATTGGTGGAACTGGCTAGACGCCGGGTTTGGGAGCCTGTAATTACAGCAATGTCAACATAGTTTTCAATGTGACTAGTGATTTAGAGTCCTCTGCTTTAGGAGCACAACTCAAGGTTTCTCAAATTGATCTTTCCTCATACAGTGCTGAGCACTAACACTTCAGAAATCTGTCTGGGGTCTCAAGCAGGGCCCACCAAATTGTCATTAGTCAACCCGCTCATATTGTTGTTTATTAGTAATTGGATTGGGTAACCTATATCATTAGTCACTCTGAAAAGTCTTATTTATATTTTATATGGTAGTCATCAATATATTCACTTTGCTGTGTGTGTCAGCCTGCGTTTGAAGAGGTCTTGACCTCCCTTATTAGTTTTCCGTATGGTAAATCCCCATCATGTTAGCATGGATTACACCCAGAGCATCCGAGAGACAAGCACATCAGCACAATCAGTGTAATTGTAATTAAGCAGTCGGGACCAGATCCTTATCTGGTAGAAATCGGCATAGCTTCTCTGAAGACAAGAACAGATATCTACCAGCGAGGGAAATGGACCCTATTTCTTAACGGCTGTAGCCCTGCAAATGCCTTCCCAATGATTTTTTTAAGCTCTCATTTTGGCTATGGCTGTTAAAGAACCTCTTTGGTGAGTATTTGTACAGCTGCATCTTCAGGACTTTGTGACCTCTAGATAGTCTCACAAGGGATGTTTTGCAAGAGCAGCCATATGAAATGTTCTTCAAATGATTGAAAAAGATACTAATTAAAACTGTGTGAACGTTTTTCCTTGTCAAAGACCTTATAAACACTCATCCCATAGACCCGTGGTGTCTATGGTGGCATTATGCTTACGTTTTCTGTTCCCTGGCTACAACCCCACTCCAGATCAGACCCTACACTTTCTGTTGCTGACCTTCAGCAGCAGTTAAAGGGTAGAACCGAGCGCCCACGTAAAAGACCTGGTATCTGTGTTTCCACATCACGAAGCATGCCGACAGACACACCAAGGCTGCAATCAGATTGAGGACCATCTGCAGAAGTAAGTAGAGGTTGAGCATGCTGGTGAGGCTGCCACAGTCAGCTGCGTCCTGGTAGACAAAGGTCCTGCCGAGGGGGTCTGCAGTGTCCAGTTTGCACTGGCAGGATGAGAGGATGGTATCGCAGGTGAATTTTGTCATCTGCAAATAATGGTGTGCAGCAAAAGCCACTGCCAAAACACAGGCAACCAGACCCAGGGCACTCAGGAGAAAATACATCAGCTGCAAGAAAGAAAAAAAAAGAAAAAAAAAAAAGAAAAAAAAAAAAGAAAAAAAAAAAAGAAAAAAAAAAAAGAAAAAAAAAAAAGAAAAAAAAAAAAGAAAAAAAAAAAAGAAAAAAAAAAAGAAAAAAAACTCTTTTGGCAACTACACAGAGAATGAAGAACACAAAACGAATGCATGTACCTGTACTTCACAGGGAATGCATGCATTCAATGGACTATCTGGTCACTGTGTGCTTTGAAAAATGCAAGACAGCTATAACTCCCTGGTGATGCAAAGTTCAGCAGGTCATCTCAGGAACTAGTAATTCTGCCCTGCATATTTTATATGAGTATTCTCGTGCAATTCTGAGACTTCATAAGAGCACCAAGAAGTCTGTGCCAGAAGCTTCATAGAGAGGGGGGGGATTGTCGCCCTCTACCATTGTACCTGCATTGGCCAGACTTATAGTCATCAGCTCAGATAATTAGTACAGTTGCCTTGAAGCAGGGCTGAGCAGAATGAGGCTTGGGCTGGCAGCTTATCCCAGCCTGTGCTAAGAAGTGGGTGTTTTTGAAACTTTGCTCAGGTGTTATTCCCGGCTCTCGGTTTGCATGCCCAAACAAATCTGATTTATACTTGCAAATCAGGCAGGGAGGGAGCTGGTCTCTCACTTTGTGGCCCAGTGAGTGCAGCCAGCCTGCTTGCTCCCCAGGTCCTACTGTGGAGCAGGAATGCAAATCTCCACGAGGGAGTGCGTGCTGTGCTCAGTCCCCTTCCAAAACTCGCCCCATAAATCAAAGGTGTGAAAGAGCAGCGAGCGCCTTTCATTTCCCACTGCTGCCCCTGCCACGGCGTGAGAAGGACAAGGGTCTGTTTGTCACCCCCCCCTACTCCTTACACCAGTGGCTGCTTTAAAATAGGGTGGCTTTTATCAAGGGTAGCTATGCACAAATGCACGGGAACTGGCAGCGACTCGGAGCTTTTGTCACTCCAAGTTGCACCTGAGACCTTTGGGTACCAGAGCATATGGACTTCCTTTGCTTTTCATAGCTGGAACTGGCAGTTGCTGTGCTGCATACAAAATATGTGTGAATGTATATTAAAATCATATTCTGTGTTTAGCCAAAATAGCATTTTTGGTTCTGTTCAGCACTGTAAAAACATTTAGTTTTCTTGGCGTCTTATCTGTCAGACACATGGCATGGTTGGGAATCTGTTATTTTAAACAGCAGCTTCTCTCTCTCTCTCTCTCTTAACCTCAATACCGCAAGCAAACTATCAATATAAAAGAATTTTTATGACCTTGAAACACCATGTATCTATCTCTTGATAAAATTCATACTCCTGGTCTATTTGTCTTGTATCTACACCATGAATCAATCTTTCTATTCAGTTGCCAGATTGAAAAAAAAGTATTTGGGATTATTGCAGATCTTAAAGCACTATATGCATTTTGTCCTGCTTATATATACATTTTGTCCTGCTTATATATACATTTTGTCCTGCTTATCACTGAGTTCTTACAGCAAGATCTTAGTTTTCAAGACCTGGCTACTATTAAATTTAATTACTTCCCCTGCAGCCTTAAACCAAGGCTTCAAAAGGAGGGTGGCTCTTATTAAATTAGCCCCACTGCTTTCAAGGCAAATGTCCACAGGAAAGGTGAAGTTGGAAAATGGGGACACACCTCCTCGTACAAAGTGCACAAAAAATGGAGCGCTACTGCCTGATGGATCCCCTCCAAACAAAGATGTGGTAATTCACAAGCCAATGGCATTACTTTAAAAGATGGTGCAAATGTGTTTGATGGGCAAAATGGAAAATAGGCAAACACTGATGACCGTTCCTCTTCATCTGAGGGATGAAAGTTGTTCTGTGATGTAGAAGTCCTAGTAGACTGGCTGGAAGTCCCTGGATTCAGACCAGCAGGAGACAGAATCAGGCCTCCCTAATAAATGAGATATTAAGCCAAGACTACAAAATGTGCCTGGATTTCCCTGGCAGGTATGTTATTTAGCGGCCAATTTCTATCCAAAGTCAGGACAAAATAGCATTAAATCCACAGCCTGAGCTACCCTCCAGGTATGGTAAGCAAGAATTTGCCTGTTGTGTACCTAAAGGGAAGGAAATCTCAGAATCCTTTTGAAACGCACCAAATCCTTTTGAAAGGCAGCTCTTACAGCAATCCTCAAAGGTGAACAGAGATGCGTGGGGACACGGGGCAATTTCCAAATGGCTTATTATTCTCACAAGATGTTTGCAGAGGAATCTCTCTGTGAGCTGCTGAAAATGAACACGTTTCCAAATATCAAAGCTGAGGCAAATGCAAACACTGCCTGTGAGGGAGCACAAGGCAGAGAGTGCTGAGATCCTGTCAGCAGATTAATCACATGCCAGACCTGGAGGCAACTTCAACATCACAAATACAACCACGTAGTGAGCTCTGCCCAGGAACCAGAACTTGCCACTGGAAAAATGTTTTTTAGCAGCCTCAGGGAGATGGGCACTGCAGTTGCTGGTTAAATAGAAAGAGAAAAGGGAAGCTGGGGAGACACAGCATACAATGAGGGCAGAGCATGGCACCTCATCCTCCTTTGGGTTCCTCCTATGAGGAAGAAACATTTTAGCAATATTTACTGGCAATAGTTTTGATCCATGCCAAAAAGAAAATAAATAACCTAAGATGGATCGAGTTCCACATGGAAAAGGCTTCTCGTGGTTATCAGAGGGGAAACCAGAAGGGTTTGCAGACATGGATCCAGGAGATCCCTTTGGAAGGTGGTGGTGGCCTAGGCACGAGCCCATGCAGGGAACAGGAACCACAGTGTGTGTCACAGCAGGGGCTGCTGGGGCTGGGTGGGCAGGAGTAGTGGCTGTCACAGTTCTGTGGGAGATGCCGTAATCAGCACCGCAGTGATCAGTCAAATGTTAGCAGATATCCCAGGAAGTCCACAGGACATCCTTTCCTTTCCCCTTTCCTTTCCTTTCCTTTCCTTTCCCCTTTCCTTTCCTTTCCTTTTTCCTTTCCTTTCCCCTTTCCTTTCCTTTCCTTTCCTTTCCCCTTTCCTTTCCTTTCCTTTTTCCTTTCCTTTCCCCTTTCCTTTCCTTTCCTTTCCTTTCCCCTTTCCTTTCCTTTCCTTTTTCCTTTCCTTTCCCCTTTCCTTTCCTTTCCTTTCCTCTTTCCTTTCCTCTTTCCTTTCCTCTTTCCTTTCCTCTCCTTTTCCAGGCCAAATGCAATGAATCATCCCCATCCCTTTCTCTCTCAACCTTTCCTCTGTCACTGTGTTGAAAGGAGGGAGGGAGAGG